CCGGGCGCTAATGGGAGCCGCCGGCTCCTCAGACCGCCCGCGGGGAGCCGCGAGAAGGACGTCCGTAAGGCTCCGCACAAGCACCCTGCCCTTGCCGTTTGTCGTGGTCTGGTTTTCACTCGTTGTCTTGGTCCCGTAACATCCCCCTTCTGAAATTGCTAGAACGTACGTTTACTAAAAAACCCTGTAATTGTGGCTTAGTGACATGTTAATTTTTATTTGTAACGTTCCTGTTATTGGTATTTCCTGGCATATGCACAGGTGCAGATATCTTATCCTTACTTCACTGTGAACGTGCCGAAATGATGCTTATCTTGTGGCTGTTAAGTGCTGCTTGAATACATTTGCCTTTATATTAACAGATCTTTTTTATGGTAACAGTTTTGAAGGACACCCTGGAAAAAAGAGGTGCTCTTGGACAAATAAAAGCAAGGATCAGAGCTGAAGTTTTTAATGCCCTGGATGACCAAAGTGAACCACGACCACCACTGTCTCATGAAAATCTCTTAATCAACGAACTAATTCGTGAATATCTGGAATATAACAAATATAAATACACAGCATCTGTTTTAACTGCAGGTATTGGGGCTCAATTTTTGTTGTCGTCGCTCTATTAATAGACATTTACTGTTTGGATGAGTAATGCCACTGATACTATGAATTTCAGAAGTGGGACCAAGCTGCACACTCTTGTCTTCCCTTGGAAATAAGATACAAACGTGCTCCATGGCTTTACTTGCAGCATTAAGCCAAATCATACCATTAATTTTCAAGGAAACTTAACCCTTTGTTCCTTATCCTCGAGGTACATGCTTAGAGCAGTTGATGCAAGAGGAAGAAAACTTGCTAGCAGCCTGCAAAATCAAAATACCTTTCTTGAAATAGCTTGCTTGGTTTTTTTTGTGGAAAATGGCTAACTATTTTTAAAGCATGTATCACATTGGATTTTTTTTTTCCTCACTGGCATTTGGGTAAAATAAAAAAATAGGAATCCTACAAATGAAAAAAACTTCTTTGAGGAATAATTTAAACTAAAGTAATGCTGATAGTATTTGCTATATAATGCTAGTATAATGCTAAAGTAATGCTAAACTAAAGTAGCTGATAGTCTGAATTACAGCAATTCTGGCAATTCATGCATATGGTCTGTATCAGAAACATGGTTAGATGTCATCAGCTTAAATAACAAAAACGAAAATGAAGAAGGTCCATATTTTTTAACAACTGCAGTTAAGTATTACTGTTACTGGCTGTGCTAAAATACCAATTTTTGAGAGCTGTTTAGACTACAACATCTAAATGGTAGCTGTAATTTATGTGGTAGAGCAATTACTTATTTTTGCAGCTATTGCTAACTTGTATTTGAAATCTGAAGTTCTGTAGTTGTGCTTAGATACATTTTCTATTTAATATTTTTATATATTTCGCTCTACTAAAATTACAGGCACAAAGGTTCATCTCAAGAAGAGGGAATAGAGACAGCCTGTATAGTAGTTAATATATGGAATCTGATAACGGTACTTCTTTAGAGGAAGAGATGTTTGCATGATTAATTTATCTTTCTATTGTAAGACTTCTTTAATATTTTTCTTAGATTCCTTTAAAATGAAGATAATATGTAATATGCTGTTGTAAATTATGTGAGTATGAAGCACTAATGTTTAAGTGAGTTCCCTGGAATTACAAAATACTGTTAGTATTAATAGTCTAAGAGGAGGTGTGTGCTTTCATTCTCTTTTGAGGTCTCCTGAGCAGTCTTTAATTGGTGATGTTTTTCTTAACAGTCATAAGAATTTTGGGAAATATCTTTTCTAGAGTCTGGCCAGCCTGAAGTGCCCTTGGATAGACAGTTTCTTGCCAAAGAGCTGAACATAGTCGAAGACGCAAGTGGAAAATCAGTGTAAGGAGTGATTCTGGAATGCACAGTATATTCTGTGTCTGCATATAGTTTTTTCTTTAGTGTTGTTATAAATCTCACCAATTAAAATGTCACTAGATCACAGGGCTGCTATGACGTGCTGGATTCAAACTCACAATATCAAACATGGGGCCTTTTTCAGACATACTCAACATTTAATTCTGCCAATTCTACTATTTTCCAGATAGTGTATTTACACAACAAAACGCAAGTCTCTTACCAGTACAGTCTTCCCCACAGTCAGAAGGAGAAAACAGATATGCTCTTTGCATATCAGTGAGTTGCTTTGTAGAGCAATAAAAAGATTATTGTACTCTGAGATTAGATATAAATTCACAATGCTCCAACAGGACTGCATTAATGAGCAAGGATACTGAAGCAGGCTTAAACGTGTTCTCTGTAGCTTGTGGTGTCAGAATCTGTCAGGTGCTGAGGAAGAATCAAGTTTGGGATGGGCAGCCTGCCAAAGGCCGATCCTTTGTACTGCACAAGTGAGAATGTGGATCTGTGTTCTTGTGCTAAACATGCTCCCCTTCTGCAGGGGACCTGAAACTTGGTTGAGAGTGTCTCTTAGTGCCAGCTTTTTAGGAGACTGTTGGTGTTCAAGGTGGCGCTTAGGTCTATGTCTATTTATATAATGACACTTGGCATAATGTATGTTAAATAATTACTCTAAAGGTACCTGTACGTATTCTAAAAGTAAACAGTAGGGTCTCAGAAGTTCTGAGGAAAGGGTGGGGTTTTTAATGCTCAGTATTTCATAGACTGCTTTTGTCATTTCTCTCATAAGCAGACCTCTCTTGTATGGAATTATCTCTCATTTCTTACATGGTGGTAAAGAAGGAAGTACCCAGAACACCCTTCCAAAATTGTCTTTGCTGAGTTATCCAAAACAGAACCTTGGCAAACCACCTACTGAGAGAAATCAAAAAGGTGGGTGTGGGTATGGGGTAATTTTTGCAAAGTTTTATTTGTGACTAGATTTTCTATATGATACATACGGTTATAGCAGCATGAACATGCAGATGGACACAGTGTACCTCCTCCTCTGTGCAGGGAGTGCTTTGGCCTGACACCTCTTTTGTAAGAAAAATTCTTCAGCAGAATAGTGTATCTCAAAAATACCATTAAGCTGTGTGACCTGTTGCTTATGTATTCATTTAAGGTCCTGCTATATCCAACTCAAGAAAGACCCACCCATGATTTCTAAAACAACCCATATACATACCTTTGTTTAAATGAGTGACTGGCTTACACCAACCCTTAGGCCTGCTTCTCCCTGCCGGCTTGTTAATGGGACTGCATACGCGGCATACAAATCTGATTGCCCTTGGAAGCGCTCGACTGGCCTTCAAATGCATCAGTAGTAGAACCTTCTCTCTTATAGGGAATGTATTTTATTTATAAAGCAGGCATTTAAAAAAAATTGCAGACAGACAAGTTTACGTAATTTCTCAACAGTGCAAGGTACTGTGAAGCTCCTGTTACCTTGTAGCTGTGGCTACTTGTTAGTTACTAGAGGGAACGGTAAAAACCCTAATTGTTTAGCTTTATTCTCTTTAAGGCTTTTGGACTGTTAAAAACTGAAAACTCATTTAAATTGGACAGCTGTGCTATTCTAATTAGTTTTGCTGCTCTGGAGTTAGTGGTAAAGACCAGGAAATACTAATATCCCAATACTCAGTATCAGAAAGGTCAGCCATCAAATTGCTTTACCATTCTCCTAAAAGTTAAACTGGCCAAGTTGTACTCCCTTGTACTATTACAAATCTGGAATGGGTCAGCTAGAGACAGTCTTACTATTTTGGGAATTTAATACAAGAATTTAACCTAAATTCTCAGTAAAGTGTGTTAAATAGCAGGCGTATCTCTTTGTTTCTCGTGTGTTCCAACTTACCTAATTTCTGTATTAAGTTCTTAACTCCTTAGCTGTCAGTTTTGTATATGGGCATAAACCTTTTCCAAGGACATAATTCACATCCCATTGAGCGCAGAAGCTTAAGCTCTGAGTTCATCGCTCTATAGTGGAACACTGCTAAATCTTATTTTCCCTTTCTGTCCTGCTTTGTGACTGGTTACAATTCATACTGCCAAAGCTACAGAATGAAAGGGATCATTGGTCCAGTTTTTTTCTTCACAGAGTCTGCTAGGCACGTTACTTCACTTTCTACTGTGAGAATGTAGTGCTATTGTGTTAGTACAATCAACTATTTCTTTTGTATCCAGAAATTTGCAGAATACGAGGCCTGAGATAATATTGACATCTAAAAAGTGACAGAAGTACTAACCACCTTTTCTTAGCAGTTAATTCATTGAGACAATGTTGTTTCCCTTCTGCCAGAAGAGGGGGCTGAAGAAATAAAATTTCAGGACCAAAACTGCTATAAATTACCTCTTTGTTAGAAAATAGTTATTCCTATCAGAATTTTTTTAATTTTTAAAAACAAATTCGGTGTATAGAATTGTTTTTAAAGTATAACTTTGTACCTCAGTTCTGAAATTGACTCTGTGCAGGGTCACCTTGCCCTGTTGACTCCAATAAAAATTTCACACTGGGATTTAATTGTTCAGATTTAGTTACAAAACTCCAGACTAATCATAAGGCATGACAGCACATTGCTTTTTGAACTAAACAAAATTATACAGGTTTTAAGGCTTTTAACCTTTAAGTAACTATAGTCAGAAATTACTTTCTGCATGTGTTTGTAGAATATGTCAGTGGAGACCTAAAGGCAGGGGGTTTAAAATACCAATTACCTAGCTATTTTAATTAGGCTGCACATTCAGGTAATAAAGTCTATTCATAGACTCAACCCTCCAAGTCTCATATTGTAACATCTAACTTGCTTTTCATATTAGAAATTGTCTTGTTTATTTAGCTGAATGAATATTCCAATAAACTGCTATACAGACTGGGAATCCTGGTAGAGCACGTGGAATCCGGTGTTTCTGTTAGCTTATTCACTATAGCGGAGTTAAAGTTGTCTGAAATCTAATCTTTAGTAATGCAAAGGTCTTCTCTCATACAGTTTCATGGAAAAATATATTTGTAAAATTATCCGAGTTTCCTATGACAATGTGCTGTATCAAAGTTGATAATAGTAGAAAGTAACACTTAAACCTTTGGATCTCCAGACATGCGAGATATTTATGTCTGTGTTTCATTTTCAGATAGAATTGAAGAACCAGGAAAGATGGCTGGCACGAGCATCGAAGAGCCCCTTGTTTTACAAAGTATAAACAGATGATGTCTTTCATATGCTAGTTTCTCATGTAAAGTTCTGTAAGAGTTAACTTAGGAAATTCTTTGCATATATTTCCCCAGTGTGTCCAGTGGGACCATTTCACCCTGAGACAGGGTGATGGGGTCATACTTATTGTCAGTGGAAAAAAAAAATGTTAGCAAAGGCTCTCTTCCTCCAGTGCTGATAGAAGGAAAACTGTATATGAAGTCAGATTAGTGAAGCCTGTGTCTGGAATTGGGCCTAAAACTACTGGGTTTACTTTATAAAAATTTATCTTCTAATTTCTGCACTTTCTGTATTGTCTTTGTGTGTCTTCCCTCTGTTTCTGAATAAAATTTTTCAGTTTTATTCCGTGTGGTATTTTGAAACTGTTGAAACTAAGCATAGTAATCATTCTTCTTTAAAAAGAAGCTGCTGCTACTTTTGGATAAGTATGGGAAAATAAATTTGAATAGAAAATTAGAGTACTTTAGAGGAGTAGTTGTTTTTAATTCTCCGGAAATGAGGACTATATTTATCTTCATGCCAGCAAACGAATGACGGTAAGTCTTCTTTTCCATCTGGAGTTGCTATAAATTGTACGGTGTAACACTGAGTATATGGGAGAGGAGGAGCTTCTGGTTTTTTTCCCCAAATGACATGAAACTCAAAGTCAGGCAAAGCTAAGAATAAAGCTGATAGTAGATTACTGATTCCCAGAACTATTTTTTAGCTGAGGTATTCACATGTTTGAAATGATAGTTTATTTTAAAAGCCAAACTTACAGGGTACATCAAAAATAACAGCTGTTTTTTTCTACTCAATTTAAAAAAATGTGTAGCTGTTAATGTTTCCAAAGGTACTGGGAGTTTTGTGTAAATAAATTTTTAGGGTTGCATTCTTAAAAATCTTAATTGTACCACTTAATGAGTGGTACAGTAAGTTGGGGAAAAACAAGGAAGAGAACGTGCAGTTTGTGAATTTAAGTGAAAGGACCCCGAGTTGTACAGACTGCAAAGTTTTGCCTTTATCTTGATTTGACCCAGTTAGCATTACAGGTATTTTTTTATCGTAATAAGCAGCCTAGCTTTTACTCAAATGTGAAATTGCAGAGAACAGTTGCGAGTTGGAAGCAGAAGTTGCATTTATGCATTTGAAGCGTCAGCAACGAGTTCATCCCCTTCATGCAACTGGCAATGCTGCCAGCTCTCCATTCACCAATTTGTAAGTATCTTGGGACTGTTTCCAAGAGGGGAGAACACGTGATTGCAAATGCACCTCAATCAAATCCATCTTCTAAGTCTTTTGTAGCTTTGCATCAATTGTAATTGACCATCGGGTCAAGTAAGAAAATTTATCTCCATATGCCCTCGCTGTTTGCTCAGTGCTAACAGCCGTGGGGTTCAGCTACTTGGCTGGGGAGCCGTCCCTATAAAAACTACCACCATGGGGTTCTGCCTCGTTACGGGGGTCTTTCCTACCACATTAATGGAAATATTCACAATCACTAATCTCTCTCTTAATTTCTCTGTCTAAAAATACAGTACAAAAACGGTCTTCTAAGCTGTGATTTGCAAATTACCTTCATTTTGGAATGAGCTGGAAGTGCTTCTATGGAAAGCTGCAAAAATGAACTTTTGAAGAAAGCAGATATGATTGCTCTGGCCACAGAAATCCCTGAATTTTTAACTTTGTTTTCCCAGAGGTTAAATGCTAGACCCCTGTTTCTCCATAAAGCAGTGGGTCAAGTTATTCTGTATATTTGGAATCTGAATTGTCTTTTCCAGGGCAAGGAAGAAGGCTATGGGAAACAGTAGGTCCAACCTTCTGTGCTATGCAAATCATCCAGCATAACCAAAGCCATTGCATCTGCCTTCTATCTTCCCACCACAGATCATACAGAAGCTGCCCAGGTGCCACAGAGCTCCCTGGGAAATGGATTTTTAGTGGTAGAAATTAAATTTTTGTTCTGGTTGAAGAAGGCAAAGGCATGTTTGGTACTTGCCCTTTCCCAAGCACACAGCTCAGCAGCCTCATGGTCTCCACAGCCACGAAAGCAGAGGCAGTTGCAAGGGGTCCTTAACTGAGCTTTGAGGCAGAGGTGTGCATCTGAAATTGGAGAAGAAATCAATTTAGGACAGAGGGACTCTTGGGACTATTGCAGCTTCAGCCCGTTGTCAGAATCCTGCGCTGGGTCGGTGGGTGGGTGCTGGCCTGTTTGCCCTCAGCGCAACACGCATTTCATCCAATTCTCTAATACCCTCACAGCACGGATTTGAGGGTTTGGAACAATCTCTTCTTTCAAAGTACAGTCATTGTACAAGCAAATTAAAATCAAATTAAAGTGTATTTCCAGTGGTATTTATTTGTACAACAAAGCTTTGAAATATGTCTATAAAAATATACTGGTCTAATCACATTATTAATGGTCTAGCATTTATCCTGACAGCGCATGAAATACGAGAGCATCTTTCAAGATGCAGACGTGTGGCGAGTCCTACAAATGTCAGGCTGTGTGACGTTAACGGATGAAGAACTGCAAAGCCTCTACATCATGGCTATGCTTTCCAAAAAATCATTCCTTAAAAGTTTAAGCTAAGTGAGGTCAGTATTTAGAAGAAAATAATTCACAGTTCTAGAGTCACAGCTGCAGGTTTTAGATGAAATTGCCACCTAGGTGAGCATGCACAAAAATAATTTTCTGAAATAATTTAAGCAGCTCTGTCTAGCTTAAATACAGACTGCGATTTCTTGCATTAACTGCCCTTACTCTTTCTACAGACATCAGAAAATGAAAAGTTATAAGCATGTAGAAGTTTGGAGGGTTTAATGTGCAAAACATATTTCTGAATTGCATTGGAGATAGAACACTGTAACTGAGACTGTTACAGAGGGAATTACGTTAAAAGAGGCTGTTCTTTGTCTAGGTGTGATATCACAAGTGAAGGTGACAAGGAGCCAGTGAAGTTTGGTGTGGATATCAGATCTGGAAACCACTTTGGAAGAACTTAACCCACACACAAAAAAAAAATTCTTTAAAACCAAATTTTTGCTCTCCCCTAGAATCAGAGGAAACTATGTTTATAGACTCCACAGCATCAGTGCTGTTTCAGAGGTATTAGTTTCTGTCATGCACAGGGGAAATTTTTTTCTAGGCTTTATCAACACGCTCCAAGGAGTCGGTTACGCTTTCCTTCCTGAGTGCCGTTTGTATCAAGCTGAATCTTGGTGTCAGTTGATCAGTTTTCCGGAGGAGTGATTATCATTGGGTGATTATATTTAGGAAAACAAACCCCAAAATACTTGTTCACACTTGCAAAGACGCCCTTTCAGTAGCAGCTGGTGTCCAACTGATTCAGAATTGACCTGTGGGCTTCACACACCTCACCTGACCTGCAGCCAGCATTAAGCACAAAGCTTAATATTAAGTAGTTGCTGATTATTTTACCTCATCAGTCTGTTCTCATGATTGATTGTTCTTGTTTGGAGGCAAACTGTCCCTCCTGTTGCAAGAGCACAGCTCAACACAGGTGGTAATGCACCAGTTTGCTTGCCAGTTCCAATTACCTATGTCAGCTTAGAGAAACATGGTTGGTAAACTTAGGTAAAAACATTTTTAAACAAAAAAAATTGCTTACCAGACACACATTATTTAACAAATTAACGTCACCAACTGTACTTTTCTTTTTTCCCCCTCTTGTATTCAGGTTACACTGTGGTAAGGCAGCTGAAAGTTAATTTCTTTTCTTCTTCAGTGCTGCCCGTGTCCCAGGCTACTCAATACTTTATTTTTTTCTAGAAAAGTAATTAAAACAAATAAACAAATCAGAGGGGGTTAAATAAAGCTTATTTGTTGTTAAAAAGGCATCGTCCACTGGGAATCCACAGTTTTCATTCTGAGGAAACTTTGGTTTAAAAAAATACCACAACATCTAAGAAGTCCAGGCTGATATATTAGTATATTCTTACGTTAACTTCTAAGTGAAGGTTGGAAGCCATGCTTACACTTATCAGTTCCTACCCCACATGGCTCAAGAGTGCAACTGTTTCAGCCCCAGCAGTAATATTTTTTAAGACTTTCCAGCTCCGTTTAATGTCACATCATAGATCACCCTCCACCACTGCCTCTGTTAAACACACTGCTTGGGCAGCAAGCCTGCATGTGCACATGCAGCGGTTTGCAAACCAGCCGGGATAATTTCCACTCCTTTTTAAGCTACTAATAAAATGTGCCTGGTTTTGTGAAACAGCCACATGGGTTGAAAAGGAACTTCTTACGATAACTTTGATGAATGTTAAAATGATCGTACTTTTCAGAGGATCCCCTTGCATTTTATTGTTTTCATTATATTCCAATTTAAACACTAAGTTTGTAACCGAGAAACTGAAAAAAAAAAAAAAAGTGAACTACTTAGTGAGGAACTTTGTGCTAACAAGGGCAAGTTTCTTGGATTCACGTCCTGGCGATCGTTTCCCCTGGCTTTGCTCCAACACAGTCACACATGCACGAGTCTGATAGGACACCACTGCCTTTCAGCTCCTGGGAGAGCTTTGCAGGCTGCGTGGCAGCCCCACACCTTGCGAGGCAGTGGACCCTGACCCTCTGCCTGGAAGGAAAGGCTGCAACTGCTGGGACCCTGTGACTGTGTTAGCAAATCTGGTCTTCTTCAGGTCTCTCTAAGGCCTGAACACAAGTCTGTACCTGATATTTCTGAAATGTTGCTGGGAAGAAACCCTCTCCTCTTTGCCCAAATTTGTTCACCTCTGGCCAGAGCTAGAAGAAAGGGCTACAGGTCTGTCACACCTGCAAGTGCTGGTACTTTGACCAAGTGTCACAGCAGAGGTTTTCAGCCCAGCCCCCTCCCCATAGGTATTTTTTTAGGATGCCAAGACCAATGTGAGCCTCTTCCATCTTTCCCAGGAG